TTAAGCAGGATAGGTTAGGTTAAGTTAGGTAAGATAGGTAAGGTAAGTTAGGATAAGCAGGTTAGGTAAGTTAGGTAAGATACGTAAGGTTAGGTTAGGTAAAGTTAGGTTAAGCAGGTTAAGTTAGGTAAATGTACGCAAGTTAGGTTAAGCAGGATAGGTTAGGTTAGGTAAAGTTAGGTATGATAGGTAAGGTAAGGTAAGTTATGTTAGGATAGGTAAAGTTAGGTTATGCAGGTTAAGTTAGGTAAGATAGGTAAAGGTAAGGTAAGTTAAGTTAGGATAGGTAAAGTTAGGTTTAGGAACGATACGTTAACTAAGTAACATTGGGTGGAGAGGATAGGTTACGTAGGTTTGAACAGTGTAGTTCAGAGAATAGTTTTAGGGTAAAGTGACTAAGAAAATATATTTTAACAGAAGTGCAGGTTTAGTATGAAAAGCCGAACTAGTTACATTTTGGAGAAAAATTTTATGACTGAATATCTCTTAAAGAATAACATGATGGAAGAAGGAGAGTTTCTTTGATGAACGAAGGCGTCTTAGAGAACAACTTTTTGGAGAATGAAGGCGAATTAGAGATTACTTTGATGACTGAGAATAACTTTGATCAACGAAGATGGATTGGAAAGTTTCTCTAATGAACGAAGGTGACTTAGAGATTAACTTTTATGATTTAGAGAACATCTTTGATGTCTTAGAGAACAACATTGATGTCTTAGAGATCAACTTTGATGACTCTGAGAATAACTTTTATGTCTTAGAGAACAACTTTGATGAGCAAGATTAACTTTAGATGTCTCCGAGAATAACTTTTATAACAGAAATTAACTTTAATGAACAAAAGTGAGTTAGAGAATACATTTTGATGACTCCGAGAATAACTTTGATGAACAAAGATGTTTTGGAAAGTTTCTCTGAAGAACGAAGGTGACTCTGAGAATAACTTTTGTTAGCTCTTAGAATAACTTTGATGACTTTGAGAACATGAGTAGTATTTTGTTAGCTCAGAGAATAACTTTTTATGTCTTAGAGAAGAACATTGATGGCTTAGAGAGAATATCTTTGATGAAAGATGATGTCTTAGATTAACTTTGACGTCTCTTGGAATAACTTTGATGACTTTGAGAACAAGTTTGATAGCTCTGAGAATGACTTTTATGCCTCTGAGATTAACTTTAATGAACGAAGATGTCTTAGAAAGTTTCTCTGACGAACGAAAGGTTACTTAGAGAATAACTTTTATGTCTCTGAGAATAACTTTCATGTCTCTGAGAATAACTTTTATGTCTCTGAGAATAGCTTTTACGCCTCTGAGAATAACTTTGATGTCTTAAAGGATGTCTTTGATGTCTCAAAGGATGTCTTTGAGTACAACTTTGATGAACGAGAGTGAGTTAGAGATTACCTTTGTTAACTCTGAGATTAACTTTGATGAACGAGAAAATACTTTTTGATGACATCGAGAATAATTTTGTTAGCTCTGAGAATAACTTTGATAGCTCAGAATAACTTTTATGCCTCTGAGATTAATTTTAATGAACGAAGATGTCTTAGAAAGTTTCTCTGATGAACGAAAGGTTACTTAGAGAATAACATTTTGATGACTGAGATTAACTTTTAGTTAAGGAAAAAGACAAGTATGATGAGGGAGACTATTTTTTGTGCTCCCTAAAGTATAATGTCAGTTAAGAACAGAGATGAATGATATCTTTGGTTATTTTTTAATACTTGACGAAAACATAATTTTAGTTAGGAACAATGATGATGAATATGACTTTTTCTGTTGATTGATGGATAATTTTAGTTATGAAATGACAATGAAACATGAAGAACACGGTTATTTTCTGATGACTAGGGAATAAGTTTAGTTATGAACAGTATTGGAAAAGTTTACTTTGACTATCTTTTGCGAAGAGAAAGATTATTTTAGTTAAGAACAGTGATGGTAAGATTCCTTTGACTATTTTTTGGTTGATTGGATAATAAGTTTAGTTGAGAAATGAGGAAAGTGACTATGTTTTAGTTGATTGGCGAAAGATTTTTAGTTAAGAAGTTACAAGAAAGGTTTGCCTTTGTAAATTTGGAACTGTATAAAGTGTAGATTCGTTTAAGAACGGGGTTGGTAGAACTATTAAGTTGACTACGAGAATTACTTTGACATAGTTTTGCAAATAAAAACTGGGTGACTAAAATTGTTGAGGGAACTGTATTGCAGTATAATATTATTTGACAAAGAACTAGTTAGTGAATGGAAGAAACAAATTAGTTTAAAGAAACAAAGAACATAACAAAAATTGAGGTTCAGTAGGGGAATGAACACAGTGAACATACAGTGAACACAGAAAACATGTAAGAAAAAGTTGATGAATAGAGTGAACATGCAGGGAATATGAACTTATAGAGAATATGAAGACATGATAAGGAACATAGGGAATACAAAGAATGAACACTGAACATGTGAAGAACAAGCTAAGAACATTGAGAACATGAATATTGAGTATAAAAGTTAAACAGAGAACATATGATGTACATGAAAATATGACAAAGAACATAGTGAACATACGGGGAAAATGGTAGAAAAAATTTGAACTGAGCATGCTGTGAACATTTGTAGAACATGGAATGAACACAGAAAACATGGAAAAAATGTGAAGAACACAGCTGAATATAGAGAAAATATGCAAATACAGTATGATGATTATTGAAGGTTTGGATACGTTGGGGATGAAAGATAATTACACAGGTTGGGGTTTTGTGACCAATCTGATAAAGAGTTAGGCTGGAGAGGGACTTGATCGGATATATTTATGTTCGATGATCTAAGACAGAGGAAATGGAGCTTGGCTAATGTCCAGATTAATTTTACTACGTTAGAAAATAAGGTGATCTTAAATCTCAGGGTGATTTAGTTGGAAAATAAAGAACTTGTACAAAATGAACTAAGCTGGGGGACAAGAGTTGAAACTTGATAACTGAACTGGTTTTTATTTACTATGTCTGAAAATGTAGTTGGGTGTTTAAATCTCAGGGGGATTTGGACTGATAGTAATGAATTTACAAGAGTGAACTTGGACAGAGGACAAGAGCTAGAGTTTTATAATTGTTTACATCATATTTACTATGTCTGAAATACAGAGGGTAAAAATTTCAGGGAAATTGATGGGTTATTTACAAATATACGAGAGAGAACTAAGATGGGGGACGAGAGCTGGAGCTCGATAACTGTTTTGATCTTATTTGTGGTATCTGAAATACAGAGGGTAAAAATTTCAGGGGAATTGATGGGTTATTTACAAATATACGAGAGAGAACTAAGGTGGGGACGAGAGCTGGAGCTCAGTAACTGACTTGATCTTATTTACTAACTTTGAAGTATGTCTTCATTAAATTTCGGGGAAAATTGATCTGTTACTAACGATCTTGTACAAATGAACTAAGCTGGGGGACAAGAGCTAGAGTTTGATAATTGTTTGGATTTACTAAACTACGTCTGAAATACAGAGGGTAGAAATTTCAGGGAATTTGATAGGATAATACCGAAGACACGAGAGGGAAGTAAGGCGGGGGATGAGAGCTGGAGCTCAGTAACTGACTTGATCTTATTTACTGTGTCTGAAATACAGAGGGTAAAAATTTCAGGGAATTTGACTAGGTTGACGAAGATGTGCGAGGGAACTAAGGTGGAGGATAAGAGCTGGAGCTCGGTAACTAAATTGCTGTATTGAACTACTTTTGAAATATGATTATTTTTAAATTTTAGAGGGATTGGACTGTTAGTATTCATTATACGACAGGGGACTAAGGCGGGGGATAGGAGCTGGAGCTCGATAACAAAATTATTGTATTTTAATACGTTTGAAATAGCTGTGTTTTAAATCTCGAAGAAAATGATTGGATACTAAAGAAGATGTATTAGTAAAACTAAGGTGGGAACGTGAGCTAGTCCCTGACTTTGTTTATATATGTAAAACTGAATAGTTTAATGAAAAGGAACTACGAATGAACAATATGAAGGAGAGGGACGGTCCAGATATTATGGAGAAGATAAGATAAGATAAGATAAGATAAGAGGTAACCTGTATGAGACGTTTGGCTGACGGTCTAAAGTAAACACAGGTGGGCCACAGATTGTGAGGTAAGGGGGGGAGGGAGGGGGTGTGAGGTATGAGCGGGAGATGTAGTGAAATGATTCAGATATATAGCAATATACTAGTTTCTAAGTAAGAAACAAATAAGAACTTTTAACAAAACTCGTATGACATTATTTCATGATAAGAACTTTAACAAACTTCTAAGGTCTCGGAAATTATTTTCATCTTAAGAACTTTAACAAGCTCGTATGACATTATTTCATTATAAGAACTTTAACAACTTCTAAAATCTGTGACTGACAAAATTTTACCTGAAAACCCTGGCTCATAAACACGAATTTGAATTTCTCCCATAAGAACTTTAACAAACTTGTACGAACTTATTTTCATCATAAGAACTTTTAACAAACTTCTATAATCTCAGAAATTACTCACTCATAAGAAATCCTTAATCCCAAATCTGTGACTCCCCAAATTCACCTGAAACCCCCCCAGCGCTACACACGATATTTAACCTGAAAACCCCCAAGAGCTACACACGATTTTGGACCTGAAAAAAAAAATCGTCTGTGGCGCTTACCCCCTACTACTACCAGCTACACCTGCCTGTCTCTCCAGCTTATATACCAGCCTCGTATGCGGTACTGTGTCAAAAGCTTTCCGACAATCCAAGAAAATGCAGTCCGCCCAGCTCTCTCTTTCTTGCTTAATCTGTGTTACCTGGTCATAGAATTCTATTAAGCCTGTCAGGCAAGATTTACCCTCCCTGAACCCATGTTGTCGATTTGTCACGAAGTCCCTTCTCTTCAGATGTGTTACCAGGTTTTTTCTCACTGATGTGTGTTTGTGTGTGTGTGTGTGTATAAATATAAAATATATAATACAAACTATTGGAATATGGTGTTGCAGGGTTGACGACTGATTACTGGGTCGGTGGCCGGTTTGACTTGGATACCAACGCTTGGTCGTGGACCGTGGACGAATCTGCTATGCCCCTAGGGTCACCCTACTGGGCAGTGAGGTTAGTGCTCCTAGGGTCACCCTACTGGGCAGTGAGGTTAGTTCTCCTAGGGTCACCCTACTGGGCGGTGAGGTTAGTGCTCCTAGGGTCACCCTACTGGGCGGTGAAGTTAGTGCCCCTAGAGTCACCCTACTGGGCGGTGAGGTTAATGCCCCTAAGGTCACCCTACTGGGTGGTGAGGTTAGTGCCCCCAGGGTTACCCTACTGGGCGGTGAGGTTAGTGCTCCTAGGGTCATCCTACTGGGCGGTGAGGTTAGTGCTCCTAGGGTCACCCTACTGGGCGGTGAGGTTAGTGCTCCTAGGGTCACCCTACTGGGCGGTGAGGTTAATGCTCCTAGGGTCATCCTACTGGGCGGTGAGGTTAGTGCCCCCAGGGTTACCCTACTGGGCGGTGAGGTTAGTGCTCCTAGGGTCATCCTACTGGGAGGTGAGGTTAGTGCTCCTAGGGTCAACCTTCTGGGCGGTGAGGTTAGTGCTCCTAGGGTCACCCTACTGGGCAGTGAGGTTATTGCTCCTAGGGTCACCCTTCTGGGCGGTGAGGTTAGTGCCCCTAAGGTCATCCTACTGGGTGGTGAGGTTAGTGCCCCCAGGGTTACCGTACTGGGCGGTGAGGTTAGTGCCCCTAGGGTCACCCTACTGGCGGTGAGGATAGTGCTCCTAGGGTCACCCTATTGGGCAGTGAGGTTAGTGCTCCTAGGGTCACCCTTCTGGGCAGTGAGGTTAGTGCCCCTAAGGTCACCCTACTGGGTAGTGAGGTTAGTGCCCCCAGGGTTACCCTACTGGGCGGTGAGGTTAGTGCCCCTAAGGTCACGCTACTGGGTGGTGAAGTTAGTGCCCCCAGGGTTACCCTACTGGGCGGTGAGGTTAGTGTTCCAAGGGTCATCCTACTGGGCAGTGAGGTTAGTGCTGCTAGGGTCACCCTTCTGGGCAGTGAGGTTAGTGCCCCTAAGGTCACCCTACTGGGTGGTGAGGTTAGTGCCCCCAGGGTTACCCTACTGGGCGGTGAGGTTAGTGCTCCTAGGGTCACCCTACTGGGCGGTGAGGTTAGTGCTCCTAGGGTCATCCTACTGGGCGGTGAGGTTAGTGCTCCTAGGGTCACCCTACTGGGCAGTGAGGTTAGTGCTGCTAGGGTCACCCTTCTGGGCAGTGAGGTTAGTGCCCCTAAGGTCACCCTACTGGGCGGTGAGGTTAGTGCCCCTAAGGTCACCCTACTGGGCGGTGAGGTTAGTGCTCCTAGGGTCACCCTACTGGGCGGTGAGGTTAGTGCTCCTAGGGTCACCCTACTGGGCAGTGAGGTTAGTGCTCCTAGGGTCACCCTACTGGGCAGTGAGGTTAGTGCTCCTAGGGTCACCCTTCTGGGCAGTGAGGTTAGTGCCCCCAGGGTTACCCTACTGGGCGGTGAGGTTAGTGCCCCTAAGGTCACCCTACTGGGTGGTGAGGTTAGTGCCCCCAGGGTTACCCTACTGGGCGGTGAGGTTAGTGCTCCTAGGGTCATCCTACTGGGCGGTGAGGTTAGTGCTCCTAGGGTCACCCTACTGGGCGGTGAGGTTAGTGCTCCTAGGGTCACCCTTCTGGGCAGTGAGGTTAGTGCCCCTAAGGTCACCCTACTGGGTAGTGAGGTTAGTGCCCCCAGGGTTACCCTACTGGGCGGTGAGGTTAGTGCTCCTAGGGTCATCCTACTGGGCGGTGAGGTTAGTGCTCCTAGGGTCACCCTACTGGGCGGTGAGGTTAGTGCTCCTAGGGTCACCCTACTGGGCGGTGAGGTTAGTGCTCCTAGGGTCACCCTACTGGGCGGTGAGGTTAGTGCTTCTAGGGCCACCCTACAGGGCGGTAAAGTTAGTGCCCCTAAGGTCACCCTACTGGGCGGTGAGGTTAGTGCTCCTAAGGTCACCCTACTGGGCGGTGAGGTTAGTGCTCCTAGGGTCACCCTACTGGGCGGTGAGGTTAGTGCTCCTAGGGTCACCCTTCTGGGCGGTGAGGTTAGTGCTCCTAGGGCCACCCTACTGGGCGGTGAGGTTAGTGCCCCTAAGGTCACCCTACTGGGCGGTGAGGTTAGTGCTCCTAGGGTCACCCTACTGGGCGGTGAGGTTAGTGCTCCTAGGGTCACCCTACTGGGCGGTGAGGTTAGTGCCCCTAAGGTCACCCTACTGGGCGGTGAGGTTAGTGCTCCTAGGGTCATCCTACTGGGCGGTGAGGTTAGTGCTCCTAGGGTCACCCTACTGGGCGGTGAGGTTAGTGCTCCTAGGGTCATCCTACTGGGCAGTGAGGTTAGTGCTCCTAGGGTCACCCTACTGGGTGGTGAGGTTAGTGCTGCTAGGGTCACCCTACTTGGCAGTGAGGTTAGTGCTCCTAGGGTCACCCTTGTGGGCGGTGAGGTTAGTGCTCCTAGGGTCACCCTACTGGGCGGTGAGGTTAGTGCCCCTAAGGTCACCCTACTGGGTGGTGAGGTTAGTGCCCCCAGGGTTACCCTACTGGGCGGTGAGGTTAGTGCTCCTAGGGTCATCCTACTGGGCGGTGAGGTTAGTGCTCCTAGGGTCACCCTACTGGGTGGTGAGGTTAGTGCCCCCAGGGTTACCCTACTGGGCGGTGAGGTTAGTGCTCCTAGGGTCATCCTACTGGGCGGTGAGGTTAGTGCTCCTAGGGTCACCGTACTGGGCGGTGAGGTTAGTGCTCCTAGGGTCACCCTACTGGGCAGTGAGGTTAGTGCTGCTAGGGTCACCCTTCTGGGCAGTGAGGTTAGTGCCCCTAAGGTCACCCTACTGGGTGGTGAGGTTAGTGCCCCCAGGGTTACCCTACTGGGCGGTGAGGTTAGTGCTCCTAGGGTCACCCTACTGGGCGGTGAGGTTAGTGCTCCTAGGGTCATCCTACTGGGCGGTGAGGTTAGTGCTCCTAGGGTCACCCTACTGGGCAGTGAGGTTAGTGCTGCTAGGGTCACCCTTCTGGGCAGTGAGGTTAGTGCCCCTAAGGTCACCCTACTGGGTGGTGAGGTTAGTGCCCCCAGGGTTACCCTACTGGGCGGTGAGGTTAGTGCCCCTAAGGTCACCCTACTGGGTAGTGAGGTTAGTGCCCCCAGGGTTACCCTACTGGGCGGTGAGGTTAGTGCTCCTAGGGTCACCGTACTGGGCTGTGAGGTTAGTGCTCCTAGGGTCACCCTACTGGGCGGTGAGGTTAGTGCTCCTAGGGTCACCCTACTGGGCGGTGAGGTTAGTGCTCCTAGGGTCACCCTACTGGGCGGTGAGGTTAGTGCTCCTAGGGTCACCCTACTGGGCGGTGAGGTTAGTGCTCCTAGGGTCATCCTACTGGGCAGTGAGGTTAGTGCTCCTAGGGTCACCCTACTGGGCAGTGAGGTTAGTGCTCCTAGGGTCACCCTTCTGGGCAGTGAGGTTAGTGCCCCTAAGGTCACCCTACTGGGTTGTGAGGTTAGTGCCCCCAGGGTTACCCTACTGGGCGGTGAGGTTAGTGCCCCTAAGGTCACCCTACTGGGTGGTGAGGTTAGTGCCCCCAGGGTTACCCTACTGGGCGGTGAGGTTAGTGATCCTAGGGTCACCGTACTGGGCGGTGAGGTTAGTGCCCCCAGGGTTACCCTACTGGGCGGTGAGGTTAGTGCTCCTAGGGTCACCGTACTGGGCGTTGAGGTTAGTGCTCCTAGGGTCACCCTACTGGGCGGTGAGGTTAGTGCTCCTAGGGTCACCCTACTGGGCGGTGAGGTTAGTGCTCCTAGGGTCATCCTACTGGGCGGTGAGGTTAGTGCTCCTAGGGTCACCCTACTGGGCAGTGAGGTTAGTGCTGCTAGGGTCACCCTTCTGAGCGGTGAGGTTAGTGCCCCAAAGGTCACCCTACTGGGTGGTGAGGTTAGTGCCCCCAGGGTTACCCTACTGGGCGGTGAGGTTAGTGCTCCTAGGGTCACCCTACTGGGCGGTGAGGTTAGTGCTCCTAGGGTCATCCTACTGGGCGGTGAGGTTAGTGCTCCTAGGGTCACCCTACTGGGCAGTGAGGTTAGTGCTGCTAGGGTCACCCTTCTGGGCAGTGAGGTTAGTGCCCCTAAGGTCACCCTACTGGGTGGTGAGGTTAGTGCCCCCAGGGTTACCCTACTGGGCGGTGAGGTTAGTGCTCCTAGGGTCACCCTACTGGGCGGTGAGGTTAGTGCTCCTAGGGTCATCCTACTGGGCGGTGAGGTTAGTGCTCCTAGGGTCACCCTACTGGGCGGTGAGGTTAGTGCTCCTAGGGTCACCCTACTGGGCGGTGAGGTTAGTGCCCCTAAGGTCACCCTACTGGGTGGTGAGGTTAGTGCCCCCAGGGTTACCCTACTGGGCGGTGAGGTTAGTGCCCCTAAGGTCACCCTACTGGGTAGTGAGGTTAGTGCCCCTAGGGTCACCCTACTGGGCGGTGAGGTTAGTGCTCCTAGGGTCACCCTACTGGGCGGTGAGGTTAGTGCTCCTAGGGTCACCCTACTGGGCGGTGAGGTTAGTGCTCCTAGGGTCACCCTACTGGGCGGTGAGGTTAGTGCTCCTAGGGTCACCCTACTGGGCGGTGAGGTTAGTGCTCCTAGGGTCACCCTACTGGGCGGTGAGGTTAGTGCTCCTAGGGTCACCCTACTGGGCAGTGAGGTTAGTGCCCCTAGGGTCACCCTACTGGGTGGTGAGGTTAGTGCCCCAGGGTTACCCTACTGGGCGGTGAGGTTAGTGCTCCTAGGGTCACCCTACTGGGCGGTGAGGTTAGTGCTCCTAGGGTCATCCTACTGGGCGGTGAGGTTAGTGCTCCTAGGGTCACCCTACTGGGCAGTGAGGTTAGTGCTGCTAGGGTCACCCTTCTGGGCAGTGAGGTTAGTGCACCTAAGGTCACCCTACTGGGTGGTGAGGTTAGTGCCCCCAGGGTTACCCTACTGGGCGGTGAGGTTAGTGCCCCTAAGGTCACCCTACTGGGTAGTGAGGTTAGTGCCCCCAGGGTTACCCTACTGGGCGGTGAGGTTAGTGCTCCTAGGGTCACCGTACTGGGCGGTG